GTTTTATATTTTCTCTTTTAACATAATTTCATATAATGTGTGATTATATTTGGTCTTACACGTTTGAACATGTGATTTTCTTGGATTTCTTTTAACCAAACCCCTTACCTATTAATGGATTTAAAATAAATTCATAATAAAAAGACATTAAGGCGTCCTTTTTCATTTTTTTCATTTTTACTCCATTAAACGTGAATAATTCTGATCAAAATAAACTTAATACCAGAAAATGATATCCTGTGTGAATACATAAAAAGCAGTTTTCAAACCACCATTCTATGAATTAATGGAAGTAAATAACCATCAAACCAACCAGGCAACATGGGAAATAAACATTTTTTTTGTTTCATTAACCTACAAAAACCAGGCCTGTTTTTTTAAGCAGCACCTTTCTTCCAACATGAAGTAGGCTTAAAGACAAAACCTAAAAAATACTTCAGAAAAGGAAAATCATGCTGCCAGTCAAAATTGGGCCTGAAAACTGAGGAAGCTATGAATTCAGCATTTTACCTATAAAGTAGAACAGTCTGGCTTTCCATTTCTTTTTTTTTGCATCTCTGAATGGCTCTAAAATAACATGGAGCTTTGGGGAGAGGTTCAAGTCAGGGTCCATTTTAGAGTCACTAATATGGGATGATTTAAAACAATTCTGGAAACAGTGGACCATTATTTCCTTTAGAAAAATAAAGATAAAAACAAACTCACTGGGCATTTCTGGCAATGCTGGAGCAGCCATGATTGACAGTTAAGCTTGGTTTATGCTTGACCCTTCTAAATAACATAATTTCTGGCTTCCACAGCCTTGAAACGTAATATCTTTGAGATTAGTAGTTAATGCTCTAATTTTGTTTTTTAGTGCAAAATGTCTAAAATATAATCTATATGAGAATTAACATATGCACCTATGATAGTGAGGGTGAAGTTGTGGTTGCTGCAGACGTGTCCAGCTGCGTTTTTGGCACAGCAGTAGTAAAGGCCGCTGTCGTCCAGACTGGCGCTCTGAATGGTCAGAGTTCTCTCTTTGTTGTTGATCTGATGGCTGCTTTCAGTCAGCTTCACTCCATCTTTGAACCACTGGCAGGTTGGCCTAAAGGGGAACGAGGGCAGAGGGTCCACAGGTGAGGTCAGGAGAAAAAGGTGAGACATGTTCTTCATTTTAGATACCTGCTGTGGAAGGGAAGGCTTACCGTGGGTGTCCATCGATGTGGCAGCGTAATGTGACCGTGGTAGAGCTCTCAATTTCCCCATCAGAAACCGGCTCCTTCAAAGTCACACCACCGCTTTCCAGCCCTGCAAAGAAAAACAAAGAGCTGAGTCCAGAAGGAGAAAAAAAATGTATAAAGTGGTCAATCTATCATCTGTTAACACAGGAAACGCTTCGACACAAATGGAAGCAACAGCAATGAGCAAAATGGGAAACATTATCACCAAGACAACTAGAGGCACGGCAGCGAGCAACAACAGCTCTAGTTCTGTTTACATCAGCGTACCGCTGCTCTCTGCAGAGTGAGATGGGCTTTAACCGAGGCTGTTAAGGTGAACGCAAGCAACTAGACAAAAAGAAATATATCATCTGAACGTGAATGAAAACTTTGAAAAGATTTGAGACTCGGAAAATTAAATAAAATCATAAAAACTTCCTGATAAAGCAAGTCTGGACTTCTACAGAACGTTGGAGATAATGTTCCAGCAAATGCACAGAAGGAAAGGATGTAAACTTGATTAGCTGTGCTCAAGTGATGGAAAAAGAGGGGAAAGGAAAGAAAAAAGGAGCTAAAGATGGTGAAGTCATTTGTTGCAAAGAATAAAATGTAGGCAAGGGGAATAAAAACGTTATAAATTAAATGCACAGTGGAAAAGATGACCCAGTCCACTGGCCTATTTATATCAAGCATGCAAAACTCAAGGCAGCGATCTAGTCAAGTATCCTCTCCCATTCATGTCCAACGAGGACCGACTGTGATTCTCATCGGGCACCAGAGCTCTCATCTCCTTATCAAATAAAAAAAGTATTTTCCTCTAGTAAACCTAGAGTTGTAACAAGAAACTAAAATAACACAAAGGTTATATCAATCTGAGTGAAAAACAGACCAATACGGTAATATTTAAAGCAAATTAAGGAAGCGCAATGTAAAAAAAAAAACTATTCAATTTATCGAGAAAGAAAATAAAACAAAAAAATAAACATAGACAGCTTATTATTTTTGCTTAGTTGCATTTACTGCACCGTGGAAAACCCAAGAGAGAGAATACCTCACAAAAAAAAAAAAAATACTTTTCTAAATATGTGTAAGCCACCAAATGAATCTGTTTTCACTTTAAAATCTAAGAAAAACATGCAATTAATTCAAACTGTAGATGGGCAATTTATCAAATACATATAATTGCATTTAGAGTTTTCAAAATACTAAAATGTCTCACTTTTCGATAGCATGGGAGTAAAATTTGCCAAATAATTAAAAGGCATGAAACCATTTATTAACATGAAAAGGTCGCTTGTGCTTTTCAATCTAAACATGAAATGCACTCAAATAAAACACAATTTCACAATATTTTTAAGTTATTTGAGTTATTTTATTTCTTTTAATGTGCAAATAATAAAGAAATTGAAAATTAACGATTGCAAAAATATGCAAACAGTATCAATAGCATGCCAAATTACAGTGTTTGATTGCCTAACTGCATATCAATGTGCAATACCTCCTTTGCAAAGGACCGCTTTAATAAAATATATGCAAGACCATCACATTACAATTTTTAGTGCAAGCAAATAATCTATATGTTTAAGCCTGAGTGAAGCAGACTGAACAACAAAGAAGTCTTCTCTTTTGGTCCCAAACAAAATACAATCCCACCTAGCTGGATTTCCCCCTCTGCGCTTCGCTTACTGTACAAATATTTACATCTTCCAGCAAGTGCAGACAGTAGCTAAATGTTATTTATGCCCTTAAGTAGAAGCATGAAAAATGGCAACTCTATATGCTGTGGTGTTGTATAATCACGACTCTGTTAGAGTTCTTGTGCATGCACACTGAGCATGTTTTTATGCATCACATTCCACTGGAGTTCAGATTCATTCCTACGGCCAGTGGCTTGATGGTACGCTGGGATCATCTATGAAATATGCATGGCATGAGCCAACCTGAGACAGCAAAGGAGAGGAAGGAAAAGCTCCCCTCTGAGGTCAGATGGGGCGTTAGAGGAAGACCTATCAGAAAGAATTACAGTCCAACTTGGCAAAGCTCTGCACCCTGAGGTATCATAGCAAACCGGCTCTACGGTAACAAGGCCTCCATTCCTGTTGTTTACCTCTGTGACTGAGCCAGTCGCTGCTCATTAGAGCCTTCTCAAAGCAGATGCCCAGTAACGGTGTGAGCACGCTCGCTCTGCTCTCCAACATGTGTCGTTTAAGGTGTGAGAGATGAGCGGTTTGTGTACAGACGTGTTTGTGGGGAGTGATACACAGATAATGATGCTCTGCCCATAAACACGCCTGCAGATGTACTCAAATTATAACAATGCTTCAAGATAGCAATTGGTTGTGTTTCTTGTCCAAGGTCAACAGCTTTGACAACTTTCTGAGAGGGAGGAGGATAACTCTGCTACTAGGACCCGGGGCCAAACACTTAGACAGGCCTGTTATTGGTGCAATGAAAGCAAGAGGGATGAGAAAGGGAATCAGAGACAAGACAGTGGGAAGCAGAAATTATTTGAAGAAAAAAAAGACTGGATGAAAGAAAAAGATCTCTTGAGAATAACTATTGAGTGCCCAGCAGAAGTATTTCTAGCCCGTTATGCCTTGTAAACTGGTACGTATTTACTAGGATTTTTTGTGACAGGGTAAAGAAGCACATGGTATTTAACTGGAAGGAGTGAGTTGCCATTGAAAGGAGGAATTAAATGAATTCTTGAGTATATTCTTATTGCAGCAAGACGTTTTTTTTACTATTAAAGCTCCAAGTGTCTTTTTAGCATCCCACTATCAGCTTTGCCCTCTTTTCTAGTTTCTGATTAAATCTTCATCCAACAGATTAAATTCTTTCCAACCAGTTGTAAAACTTTCTCTTCTCAACAAAAAAAAGCACATTTAACACCTCTAAGAATTTCTGATTAACATTCAATTGGCATTTTACACTCTAGGTCTCATTTTGTCTCAACAATTTTGGCACCAACGTTGTTTCATTGCAGGTCACTTTATGTCACATATCCCTCCAACCCCCAGCAAAGCTCCATTCACAGCTCAAATTTCTTCAGCTGTCATCTGCAAACAGAAGGTACTCTTTCATAATCTTTTTTTTTTTTTTTATCCTTGTAATCCTCTCAGAATGCTTGACTAACTGTTGGAGCGGGCCTGCCTGCTAACGCCATAATTAGGGGTGTATAATTATTATGTTGGAAGGCAGAACAGGAAGCGGCATCTACATGGGATATCTGTGAGGCCGATGCGTCACTCATTCATAGGTCAGCATTCAGTTGAATAAGGGCTACTTTTATTCAAAGAGGTGATTTGTTGCCATGGCAAAGGGTCTCTGCAACAGTAAAACACTGTGTGAACGTTGTTACCTTGAGAGGAAATGGGAGGATTTGACTGACAGAGCCATATGTGTGTTCTTATACTGTAAACATTAACGCAGCCTGAGTAATCTTAACCAGCTGTTCAGAAGGATCTGATTTTATCAGCTGTGTGTGACAGAAATCCTCATGTAGAGCTGAGGGAATGCAGGGAGTAAAAACCATCATCAAGATCTATAAAGTCTGATAGGAGGCGGAAAGGTGGAGCTGCAATGGTTGATTCTGCTTGTAAAATTAAGGTTAAGAACATTTGCTGCGTGTCCAAAGCAAAGAAGATGCCCTCATGTGTAAACAGGGATGCACTTTCAGATTTGAACCTAAAAAAGCATCTGATTGCTCACATTATTTCAGTTTTGGCCAGCATCCTGTCAGAGACGCACGCAAAGTTTTGCCTGGAGGAACAACTAATGTGGTTCTGACAGAAAGGAGCCGGTGACCGAACAGAACAAAAGGGTTGAGGACGGGGGCTAAAACCTCTATTAGAGAAAACAGAGGGGGGGATCATTTCTACCCCCAGGAATAGCCCACCCACCAATGAAGGGGAGATGAATTAACTCTCACTCCTCGGTGGGGGATGGGCAGCGCTTCAGGTCCAGATACAGTGCAGGCGGAGCACCCCCACCTCTCCTTACAACCTACATTCACTGCCATGCACGCAAACTTGCATACGCATCAGTGAATGCTCATGAAGGAGAAAAGCAAAGGGGGACAAACATTAAAGCTGTACAGGGTTTCATCGTCCGATTAATGCATGTTGTGTAAATATGGCACACTCTGTCAAAACATGGTTGGATCCTCCCACAGAGATGATGGCAACTTGTAGCATAAAGACATGACTCGCTTAAAAGGGATTCCTGTATTTTACTACATTCTTTCAAATTTATCTTTTCCTGGAACACCCAGAACAATTTTTTAAAAAACAAATATTTTAATTTATTGGGAATTTTTCCAGTAATATGGGGGAAAAAATCTTCTTCCCTTTCATATATGTGTAAGAGCAAAAAGAAAAGGCCTGATAACCGTCATCAATAACAAGTTTTAATAAAGCTTGTTAAAGGATATTGCTGAAAAGAATCTGCAGAAAAAAAAAAAATCTAGATATTTTTAACCGAATGCCACTGAATGCTTCTATAAACCTTGACAATTACAAAAAAAAACTATTAGTGAACACCATTTTCTTTACAAACCAAAAAAAGCAGTACTTTTATAAATTTAGCACCGATTCTTCACATTAATTTTGCACACGTCTAATCAAAGCATTTTTATAATAGGGCCCTGATTAAATTTTAACTTCTTATTCATGGTATGAATAGTGATGGGATGTAAGCTGGGTTGAAAAGCCAATTTCTTCAAATCACTTCATCTTAATTTAACATGCCCTCATTTCAGAATGATGGTCAGGCTTTGCATATAATATTTGCTGATATAACAAATATAAATTTGCTCTTTTTTTTCACCTTTTAAAATTACATTGAGAGTTAAAGAGAAACTGGAACGGCCAATATAGCTTCCCGTCTGCGTGATCTCAACCTCTCTGCTCGCTGCATTCAAACAGCTGAAAATGTTGCTGATCAATTTTCTCATTGTCATGTTTATGAAACAATGGAATGTATAATTTCTGTCAGTTTTGTCCATAAACACAAAACCAATTAGAACAGCATGGAAATGATCAACAAGTCATATAAAAACAAAGAGCAAACCCGCTGAAGTTAGCATAACATTTCAGCTATTTCCTAAGCGTGACATCACTGTGAGCTGGAGAAAAACCGCTCTTTACTTTGTGGAAACAGACGTATCTTAAAATTAAATATCTTAAGCTAAAGTATACTTTTCCTATTCTATTAAATGTAAGCATATTAAAGGTGTCCTGCAGAAAGTCCAGTTAAAACTAAGATCTCTTGTCAAAAAACTACATTTTGTCCCACTTAACTCACGTTTGGAAGTGTGTTAAGTGGGACAAAAATCAGGAAGTTGATGTAAAACATCTAAAAGTGATAAACTAGAGAGCTTTTACACATATAGGAAACATTTATTGTTACTCTAAAGTTGGATAAAACTATATGAAAAAAAACTAACTATAAAGAAACACTTCTCATCTTGAACGCCTCTGATTAGGGGACAAAATGACAATTAAGAGATATCTATTATTTAAACCCTGAAATCAGCAGGGTGTGCATTTAATTTTTTTTTAAATAATATATCAAATATCTTTTCATAATCTCATTAGAGATCAAACATCAACTGTATATCCTGAGGGTGTTAAATTTGTGCTGTAAAAATATCCTAATGATTCATTGTGGATAAATTGCATGCAGAGATTTTGATAGTGTTTTTTTTTTTTAAGCTACAAAACATTTGGGCAAAGTTTCATCTCTAAGAAAGAAAAAAAAAGAAACAATTTATGTTATTTAAAGTTCAAGAGATTTTCTGCATTTGACAGGTCACACATTTTTAAGAACTGTGAAATGGTCATCACAATATTGCTGTTTAGAACATACCACTCACAAAGGACAAGGGGTGAGTATTGGCATGGGTGTTGCAAACGATTCGGGTCACAATGCGCTATTATCACTATATTGCAATATCACTATTAGTGTTGCGCCGATGCCATTTTTTGGCCCCGATACAGATACCTGATACCTGGCTGTGCAGTATCGGCCAATACCGATACCATAATAATATAAAATAATTGCCATCATGGCTTTGTCAAGCTGCTGCCTACCTTTGTGAAGCAGGAAAAATTCTAATACAAAGTGAATCCAGTAAAACTTTTTATTGCCTACCTGGAATGTGTGACAATAGTTGAATAAACTTATGGCTCTCAAAATGGTATCGTGCCCTATTTGTTGGTACTCGCCAATACCGATACCACCATTTTAGGGCAGTATCAGGGCCCCATCCGATACTGGTATCGGTATCGGATGCAACACTAATCACTATATTGCCATATTTTTTCCAGCTATCAAATTAAATGTATAAATAAAAAAAACAAGTTCTGTATATATTCAGAAGATATTGATCATTTAGATATTTTAGTATCCATGTTGATTGGGGGTTGAATCAGTCCACATCTTCCACAGTGTTTGCCTAAACTAGAGATATGGCATCGTGCCGCACAGCAAAAGGGCTCCACAGCGCTATCTGCCAGAGTGGTGGTGGAGATTTAACCCATTTTCCCTCATTGTTTTTAGGTAAAAATGTTTTTGTTTTTTGTTTTTTTAATCAATACTAGGAACTAAAAGATCGATATTATTTTGGGCAGCTGAAATTCCTGATGTATCCGCAAGCAAATGTTTATTTATAACTTTAATTTTTCCAGGTAAGAAATCCGTTGTGATTTTGAAATCTGTTTCAGAAGGATGTCCTGGCCAAGATGTTCAAGTTGCAAACAAGTCATTACATGTACAGGGATACAGCACTGTAAATCATTACTTTGGCTTCATGTGACTTAATCTTCATTAGACAGAATGCTAAAGCTTACTTAGCGGTGGCGACATAGTGATGATTAAAAAGGAAGAGAAGAGAGAAAGTGTCAGAATCAATATTCTTGTCATAATTTCCAGCAACAGCATTGCAGTTCTTTTTTTCTGCCATCCTACAGGCCTTCAGAGAAAGCATATTTAACAAAGTGGGGTTAAGAGTTTTCCTAGTGGTTTTTAACCGTTATGACACTTTGATCTTCTAAACTTTAGCATGTAGCAAAATAAACAGCTGATTTTATATAAACTAAATAAAAACCTTTTATTAAAAAAAAAAAGACTTCTTTTAAACATGTGGGAATAATGTTAAACAACCTTACAGACAAATGCAGTTTATTCTGAAGAAGAACTGGCACTTCCTGTCTAACTTGTTCCTTTAAGGTTTTAATCACTGGCAGTGAGTCAGTTGACATTTATTGACACAATGGATGATCTGCAGGTCTGACATGGCTGCAGCCATCTTCAAATTCAAAACCTGACACTCCTCTCTGGTCTCTTTGAGTAAAACTAAGCATTTAAAGATGGTCTTCAAAAAGAACAAAAGAAAAGAAAAAAAAATCTTTCAGTTCGTCTCCAGTATGCGAAGAGAGGGAGGTCTGGACTCGCATCTGTTTCTTTAATCAGTCTTTGAACAAGTATCATCACTGCAAAGGAAAACCTCCTGAAACCATCTGAATGTAACCAAAGAGGAGAACACGTTCCAGATGGAGACATTTTTCATCCTGTTTTCATTTTTTTATCCCCTTTTGCTGCCATCTCTACAAAGATTCAAACAAACAAAAGGCTTTTCAGCACCAACTGGTACCCGAAGGCTCTGTGTTATTTATCCCACAGAGAGCCTGGTTCAATTCCCCTGGCATCTTCTGAAACAAGGAGAGCCACTCATGTTCAGTTATGAGGTTAAACTAAATTAAGAGGCTGCTGTGTCTCCTGTCTAAAACGGGACAAAAAGTTTACAAAGCAGCAGAGTGAAAGAGCCTGAGCAGAAAGGGGCAGTAATGAACCAAATCTAAATAATTATATAGCCAGGAGGTAAGTTGCACTCGCCAGTGAGTTCTCGACAAAAGGCTTTTGAAAGTATATGGGAAAAGACAGTGTTACACAACAGGGAGGAAAACACAAGCAACGAGAAACACATGGTTGGTGGCGCATGTATCTAGTTTCCAGTAGAGAAAAGGAGCCAGAAAGAAAAAAAAGCAACAAGGTGGAAACATTCCTCCAACTCATAAAATCCGTCATCTAATATGCTGGCTTTTGTTCAGTTTTTTTTTTTTAAACCAGACACTAAAGGCTGACCTGGGTGCCATTAAATACGTTACAGAAATGTCCATATCTTATGTTTTTTTTTTTTTTTTTTTTTTACATTTTGTCACATTAAAACTATGCATTTCGTACGAGATGCAGAGGAAATGGAAAATGTGTGGAAGTAAATGCTCAGATGAGATGAGATCAACATTTTGATTTCTGGCCATCGTGGAGAAAGCCATTTGTGGTTAACAGAAAAAAACAAACAAACACAAAAACAGCTAAAGCCCGGCGTACACTGTTCGATTTTCAGGGCGATTTTCCAGTCTTGCGAGAATCTTTCGTTCGGGCCGACTTTCAGCCTGATCGTGCGTCGTGTAGTGTACAGGGTGTACAGCGGCGATCAGCCTCTCCCGACCACTTCCCCATCAGGAATCATGAGGTCAGGAGAAAATTAAACATGTTATATTTTTTCCAAACATGTAAATCAAAAAACATGAAAATCAAACGTTTAATTTTCTCCCGACCGTCTGGGGTAAATCACTCAGTGAGCATGCGCGAATAAAAGGATTCTTCTGTAAACACAGAAGCGTGGCATTGATGCAATGAGTGAAATGTAGTTCTGTCTGTAAAATTGACAGACCGTAGTAGCCATATTGGTTACAGCCAATTCATTTTTCCAAATACGTTGTCGCTTTTTCTTTTTAGGGCTTTTAGCACAAAATTGCACAAATTTCCAAGGCAGCGCGTTTCACTCTAGTGAGCTTAATATTCCTCTTATTTTTGTTTGGCTTCCGGATAGATGAGTCAGAGCAGCTCCATCTCACTGCGGAGCCGAGTCCAACGTGCTATTTAGTCGTGAAGTGTAAGCAGATAGATCGCATGAGAGCTACGGGCCGAACATAAATCTGCTGCTCACAACGACTGAAAAAAAACGCACAGTGTATGCCCGGCTTAAGAGATCACATCATTCCCATGGTGAGACACAGTAGTGGTAGGATCATGCAGCGGGATGCTTTTCTCTGAACAGGAAGCTGGTTAGAAGATGGATTAAACTAAACGGAGAAGGTTCCCTCACCAAAAGGACAACAAAACTAAATGTATTACCAGAGCTTTAATTGAAGAGTCTAAATTACTTTGCTATAATGGTCCAGTCAAAGTAAAGATCTTAATCCAATTAAAAACTGCTGACAAGGCTTTAGAATTGCTGCTTGCTTTCAAATATGACTGTGCTGGAGGTTTTCCAGCTAATAGAGACATGACAGAATGTAAATTAAAAAAAATTTGAGATTTCCCTCATTTAAATGCATTCAATATTAAAAGAATAAAAACTCACATTTAATATTGAAGGAGGCCGTGGTGGACAACAGAAGTTCTCCAGTAGCAGAATTTGACGCCCGGCAGCTGAAGTTTCCTGCGTCCAGCTGTCGATCCACCGAGATGAACTTAAGGTTGCTCCCCTCTTGAAAGCGCCTCTCTGTGTTTTTCAGACGGCTGTCGTCTTTAAACCAAATGTACGTGATGTTGGCCGGATCGCTGACTTCGCAGCGCAGCATGGCGCTGCGGCCGTGCAAAGCATCCTGGGACTTGGGCTCCTTGGTGAACTGGAATGAAATGGCCTGAATGGACAGAACTAAAAAAAAGAAAGAAAATGGAGAGGGAGAAAGATAGAGGAAAGTAAATGACAAGAGGATTAGGACTGGGCAGCTGTTAACATTTTATAGCTTTTTTCCATTCATTAAGCATATGCCACAGCAACCACTTAGCCTTGTGGAAGAATGTGATGTTGAGACAATAATGACTTGGCGTAAATTATTATGTTGTAAAACCATCAGACTCAACATGGAGGACGGTTTTTACTTTCCTAGTCATGATGCTTTGGTTTGAGCGGATAACATCACAGTCGTGGATGAAATTAGATCAGGAGATGTGAAAAACAACCCGTGTTCTCCTGCTCTCTTAAAACTTATTTTTACTTCATGATCCTATAAACAGGTTCGGTCTCGGCTTCATTTACTCCTTTTAGCCACATCTAAAATTTAGATAATAGGGGTTGTGTGCAGTTTAGAGTAAACAGTTTTTGATTTGTACAATATTAAAAATAGCTGATCTCGAGAGGATGACATGCAAATAATACATTTTCCTTGATGAGAAAATCTATCATTAATAAAAGCTCTTTTTGTACGTTTAATGTGCTTACAAATTACTCAGAATACATGGGAACCTTTAATGCCGTCAATTTCTTAAGTATTCCTTAAAAAAGTAATAAGAGGATAAAGTGCCAGTGGTTTTCATCAGACAGGAAATAGCCAAAAGAAAAGAGCTAACATCCTAAACTGCTAATATATGTAGTCAGAGCAACACTTTTTAGATGTCAAACAAGCAGAACTCTAACAAACAACGTTACATTAATGCATAAAGAGTATCAAGGAAAAAGGAGCAAAAAATAAAACAAAAAAGTTAAAAAGTTGACCATATCATAACAATAAGGATACCAGAAAAAACGGCCTTTTCTCTCCTACCATCACAAACATAAACCAGGAGAGCTTGCTAGGCCCAAATATGATTTTTACTGCAACAAAGCTTTGGTCAGACTATGAAAACATCACTAAAAGATGCATGAGGTCCGCACAAACAAATTAAAGAGTCCTGCATACTTACAAAGTCCAACATTTTTTTCAGTCTTCATATTCAAGCATACCCATCCCTACATTTCTCACGAAAAATACGTTCATTTTCCACACTTTCATTGTAATTTGGCACCTTTCACCATTTCTTCCCTCACAGAGCACCAGTTAGTGAGACCAACAGAGCAGCTGAGATGTTGTGGGTCTTTGCGACTAGTTGCTCTAAGCAGTGTGAAGCTGTCAGCTTTTGCCTAGCGAGTTTCATCGGCTCGGTTTCACAAATAAAACAGTTCAGTATGAATAATCGCTCTTGTTAGAGACATCACACATGTGGTTGTAAAACCTTTTTTTCTGTGCACCTTTCACACAGACATCCGAGGACATGTCTGCACAAGTAAAGAGGACTTTTAGTATAAAGATAAAAGCTCCTGAAGCCAATAAAGCTGTTATATATGTTGTTATACTTAACAGGTTAGGGCTGGCAGTTAAATAGCTATATATCGCGATAATCATATCAACATAAAGTATGTCTGATAAAACCTTCAACATCTCCACTGAACTTCAATCCTGGCATTGAGGGTGATGCTGTTAGAAGAAGGGATTTAGCCTTTCCTCTCACTGCCAAACTAAGCAAAGTTGGTGGTAAAGCTGACCTATTTTTAAAGGTTAAGGGTTTAAATCGGGTTAAGGTTACAATATAAACCTGGACCTCCATTGTCCTTATTTAAATAGGTAAAAACTAAATTCTAATCAGTAATCCTCATTATGAGCCAATATGAAAGGCTTATATGGTGAAACGTTTTTCAGCCAAATGACAGGTCATTGGGTAATACACTAGTGCTGTCCCATAAAAAAGGTAGAAAAATAAATCAAGTTCACAGAAGAGAAAAAAAGGCATTTGCCTGATATAAAAACAACGAAGCACCAAGGAGTAGATGTAAACATTAAATTAAGTAGCTTTTAAAACACTGATTCTCAAAAAAGAACAGTGAAATTGTCAATATTTTTGTCGCTGTAAGTGTTTTATTATGGGTGAGCCTACAGCTGAGCCATTTAAAAACAGAAGTTTAATCTGATGTCAAACAAAAAATGTAGGCTTGAAAAAAGGCTCTTGCATGGTGGAGTAACTGTGATGCTATGGGCTCATTTTAGCTGTGAACAAAGAGCATTTTAAGCTCTGGTGAACAGAGAGAATAACGCCTGAGTGGGTCGGCAGGATGGCAACAACAAAGCAATGGGTTAACAGAGAGGACTCACATTTAGAAGCCTTTATTTGCCAAATCCAAACATTCTTCAAAAACATTGGGTAAATCGAAAGAAAGATGCTCAAAAAAAAAAAAAAAGTACTTTTGCCCTTGGTTGCGTTTGGTAGAAGATGCTGTGCGCCTGTACCAGGACGTTACAATGCAAGCCATAATAGACTATTTGTTAAACCATGAGTTTCTAAGTACAAATCTGGTATCAACATTTTCTCCCCTTCAGACTTTGAAAGTGCAACGTTTGAAAAATGGGTTAAAAGAGGATCTGAAAGCGATACAGCCATCAGAACTTCAAAGAGAAGGTCTACTCTGCCTCAGAGCAGTGAAACGGCACAGATCCATCAGCTACATACCAAATTACTTACTGCAAAGCTTTTTACTTGGATGCTGACAAAGGCTGCAGTTTTGGCAAAATGAACACAAAGCAATTCCTTTTATCAAGTTCCTTTTATCAGATGAAAAGAATAAAATGGCACCACAAATATTTTATAATAAACTTTTCTTGTCGCTCCGACTACAATGCCTCTTGGTGTTTGAGCAACTGCCAGAGGGAACTGCTCATTACTATAGTTTACACTGGAGGGATAAGCATAAACATCTAGTAGGAAGTGAAATGTTCTGATTAAACTGCACAAGAATAATGTCAAGGTTTGATTGATTATTCTAATAAAAGGAAGCAAACATTTTAACTGCAGAAAAGCAACTTGTTATGTAAAGAACATGAAAAGAAATAATATAGATGCATATTTTCCTTTGTTTGCAAGCAATAAACAGCAAGGAAACTTGAATATGACTTAAAATAAAAGGATAAAAGGGGGCGCTCCTAAAGAACTTCTATGACTCTGTTTTGGCATCAGCCATCTTTTTTGGAGCTGTCTGTTGGAGCACTAACTCTAGCTGGATAAGCTGATCAGGAAGGCCAGCTCTGTGATTGGATGCCAGCTCTGTGATTGGATGCCCTCTGGAATCAGTGCAGGAGGTGGGAAACAATAGGATCCTAATTAAATTAACAGCTCTGTTGGATAATGTCTCCCACCCCGAGCATGAAGCTGTTGCAGAAGTGGAGAGCTCCTTCAGTGACAGACTGCTGCACCCTAAATGCACCAGGGTGCGTTATCACAGATCCTTCCTCCCAGCAGCTGTAAGACCCTATAACCACCACTCTTCGCAATAACCTCAATAAGTTTTCACATTCATGCAGATTTTGCACAGTTTCTATCTTAGTCAGTTAAATAACATGCTGCTGTCATTTTGCACATCTCTGATGTTGCCATTTTCAAATTTCATTACTGTAAAAATGTCCATAGCTTTATATTAGTAGTCATTTATTCTCCAGGTGCAAATGTTTATATTGTTAAAAATACTTTACAGTACAGTATTTTATTTATCTTTTAACTACTCACTATTATGTTATTCTTCTATTCTATTTCATTTTAAAATACGGTTTTAGTAAACTCCAGTGGGAAACTAAGTTAGAGTAAACAATACAAACCAAAAGAGTCAATAACGTTTGAGCTTATCCAATATAAAATTAACATTAAAGCCACAACATTTCTCTGGTAAATATTTTTGGTATTTTATGTGATAAACCAACACAAGGGTTACAATAGGTTTAAATTTATAGAAAAACGATAGATAATTTTTGCATAATTCTAATAAAGTCTGTTGTACAATTCAGTCTCAAGCCAATACCCTTTGGAAGCAGCTTATGCAGCTACTGCTGCTGGTCTTATTAGGTCCGTCTCTACCAGCTTTTCACATCAAATCGATGTCTTAATTTTATTGAGAAAAGTCTGAGCTCAGTAAAACTGAATTTAAAGCAAACAAATGTCAATTTTCCACTCTTACCTTTTAAATTGGGTAAATTATTTTAAGTGAAGTCAGGAAAGACTAAGGTCTTATAAACCTTTCCACTGCTTAGACTGCTGCCTCTGCGACCCAGCCCCGGATAAAGCAGAAGAAATGAATGAATGGATGCTTTGTTGTAGCTGCTTTTTTTTTCTTTAAAGAAGAGGTTTATTTATTTATTTTTTTTGCAAATATATCTATATATTTTTTTACAATTCTATTGAAAAAGCATCATGCACAGGTTGGCCATGATAATGCCTTCATAATGCTTTGAATTGTGATTGACAGTCGGCTCGGAGACA